TCAATATACTTTATAGTGAGGAGGCAATCACCGTCAGGCTAGAGATTCTACCAGCTCGTTGCCTTCTAAGATCCAACGGGAGCAACGCGTTTGCCTTTAGTTGCGGCGGCGGCAGCGGCTGCAGCCGGGCTTGGACTTGGAGGTGCTGGGTTGGACTTTCAATCGTCTGTTGGTCGTTTTCTTCTTGTCGCTGCTGAGACTTGATCTGGGCAAGCATGGCTTTAATCTGACTTCCTGTGAGTGTCTCGTGCTCGAGCAATGCATTGGCAAGTTCATAGTGAAATATATATCCCGCATTTCATAATTTGGAGGTCTCCTACGGAAGTTACTCTCAATCTGGCGTTGAGGACAACCTACTATCATACCTCCCTTACCCCATTACATACGGGAATGATGGTCAACTAATTTCATATTTCCCGCCTAATTATATCATTTTTACCGAGTTGTTCCTTCGACTAAAAATCGTTCGGTAAATTCTATTAAAAAATATAAGGGGTAAATTACATACTTAGTCACTCAATTATTCTCACAACTTTATTTTAGTCACCTAACTATTTTTATTTTTAATAATCATCACTACACTTAAGTTTTTGTTTCATTTTAATCATTAAATTTAATTTGATTTATTTTTAAAAATTTTCATATATAGGAAACCCTAAAAAATGACGGAAATGTAATGCGATCCATGGAAGATCAACAAGAATCTGAAATTATCAGCGAAGATCAGATAAACCCAGGACTTATTTTCCACCTAATGAATCATAAGAAGAAGAAGAAATTAAATTCCCCATAGGCATCACCACCAGCTGCCATAGACAACTCGTGTGTACTTATCTTTAAGCCACCTGAAGCTCCTCTTCAAGGACACTTTGACCTTACCTTCAGCACCATACATCTTGTAGCTAGCAACCCTTTTCTTCCTCTGGAATGCAGGGTCACCAAAGCTCCATGACCTTGAAGAAGATGAACCAGAAATGGGTCTTCTTCCCTTTTTTGGACTTGAAGTCCATGTTGCTCTTGGCCATGTGGGGCTGTGAAGCACCGTAATACCTAAAGTCATGATTGGAAGCTGAAGACTTTTGTCGTGGTTCATGGTAGGTATCCACCTGCATCATCCCACCACCATTGGATCTTGATCTGTTGTAATCCGCCATTGGATCTTGGTTGTTGAGGTTCCTTTTGATCACCATTGGATCTTGGTTGTTGAGGTTCCTTTTGATCTTGACATTTGAAATTGAGTAAACCCTGATTCTATCTTTCTTTCTTCTTTTTTTCCCTCTATCAACTGTAAATCTTTTTTTTTTTAATTTTATCAATGACAACACCGGTTTTTGTATTAGTCACCGACCGTCGATGTTCATATTTTTATTGTTATTATATTTCGTTTTAATTTATTATTTTTATTTTATTTTTTCTAATTTTTAATAAAAATCTCTTTTGTTTGATTTTTTTACTTTCCGCTTATTTTATGCATGTTTGTTTGACTTTTGGGCACGTTTTAACTTTGTTCTTGTGGTATGCTTTATTATGCTTTTGTGGCACGTTTCCTCTTCTGTCTTATGGCATGTTGTTCGCCTACCTTTGCGGTAAATATGCAATTGTGTAAAGATTCTCACATCACTCATATCTGATTTATGATTATCAGTGATCTTTTAGTGGTTAGATTCCATTTGTGGTTGTTTGTCGATGTATTTAGATTTATTTTGTGAAGAAGCTTGTAAGTTTACTTTGGTTCGCTTGCCACTCCATCATCTCTAAAGTGTCTAGTTGAATAGAGACAAAGGAGTACTATTGACGATTAATGGATTACTATGGATGATGAACATTGTAACACCCCCAACCCGTATCCAACCCAGATACAAATCCGATGTGTTACATTAACTTTTCAAAACGCTTACTTTTACAAAATAATTGAAAATTCAACTTTCATTAAAATAAAACTGAAATAATTTACATAAATACAATAAAAAAGGTTTACAAAACCGGATCAAAGCATATTTAATTTAAGTCTTCATTTGCATACCAACAAAATAGCATAGAACAAAAGTACATACAACTTAAATTAATTCTGATATGATCTTCAGTTGATATATATTGTCTTGCTGACTTGTCCTAGCTTGGATCTTCTTGTCTCCTTGAACCTACGTGTGAAACACTCACACCTAAGTCACATACTTAGTGAGGCATATAATACATTAATGCAATAATGAAATCATGAAAATACAATCATATATTATCATAATGTACAAGAATCCTCATATATCTACTCAACAAGAACATACATTATCATGCATTTAACCAATAATAACATATCACTTTATGCAATGTTATTTAATTTTATATCTTTTATTAGCCCATGGTACATTACTGAGAACTTAAGGTATGTGAATGCATTGAGGTTGTGCACAAATGTTGTCACCACAGCTCGTATAAATTGCACCGAAGTGTCGTGTAGAATTTGTACCGAAGTGACACATAGAAATATCCCGAAGGACCACATAATATTGTCCCGAAGGACCGCGTTGAAATGTCCAGAAGGACTACGTAGAATTGTCCCAAATGACCGCGTAGAACTCTCGACTCTTGGCATGCCAATTATACTCTCAGCTCTCATATCGCATACTATGGACTTTACCATTTATATCATTTCACATAACTTATATCACATAGGCATGTAATCACATAGCTCATGTCACATTTTCATATAATCACATAGATCATTTCCATATAACTTATATCACATAGGTTCATATCACATAAAATGTATTACAAACAATGCATATTCACACAATACAAAATCATAACCATGCTTATACTCATACAATTATATATTCAAACATCGAAAATAGACTTATCACAAGTCTACTTCCCACATAACAATACATATATCATAATAGTATGCACTCACATTAGCCTCACTAGTCAAAGCAATACACTTATAACTCTTGGTTTATCTTAATCTTAGAATCGTCGTGAACTTGCCTTCGATCGATATCTACACAATAATATGGTTGTCATAAGGATTGGAATTCATATCATTGTAATCAATTCTTACTAACATAAACTAAACAAAGAACTTAATTTCACAAATTCCATATGAATAGTATCGGTACCTAAGGTACAGTACCGATACTTCTTTTCTTATAGTATCGATACTATACTTCAATATCGATACCTATTCTCGGTTCTGGAATTTCATCTCTGAAAATGGTATCGATACTTATAACCTGGTATCGATACCCTTGGTACCGATACTTATAACCTGGTATAGATACCTTTGGTACCGATACTTATAACCTGGTATCGATACCCTTGGTATCGATACTCTACTTTGGAATCGATACTCTTTGAATAATTCCTCAACTTTTGACTTATGGTATCGATACTGGATGAACAGTATCGATACCCAAACCCAAATATTGCATGTTTTCACTTTGAAGAATCGGTACTGTTCATCCAGTACTGATACCCCTTACCCAGAACTTCTTCCTTTTAACCCGAAAATTTACCAAGACTTACTTAAACCCCACTTTTAAAACTCCTTTCATGCCATTTGACTTAACCTCACCTATTCAAATCAACATATATCAATTTAACTCATCCTAACTTTCAATTTCTAACTAGAATACTTTAAATAAAAAATATACCAAATATTCAACTTTGTTATTAATCCTTTCTAACTTCATAAATCTCTTATTCTAACTGATGACAAGTCAAATTTCACTTCAAAATTCATTTACTAACTCTTTCTCAACAATTCACTTAAAAACCCATTATCCTAAATCTCTCATAACTTATCCATCTTTGAGTTTTTAGCAACCTTAAGCTTTCCTTAAGCTTATGTAACACCCAAAGACCAAAATCCAAACTTAAAATTAAAGAAACAATCAACTTGTAAGAAACTCACATTTGAAATGAGTTCACGGCTTAGCTAAAGGAAGAAGAAGAGAAAATATTTCCAGATACTTCTTCCTTTCTTATTCCCACATATATATACTCCACTTAGGATATTTTTAATTCATTTCTTGTATACTGAACATTATGTCCTTCCAACTTTCATTCTTTGCTATTCAATCATACACAAAAAATATTATAATTAAATCCCTAAACTTTTCAATTTATCTAATTTGATCATGAAATTCTGAAATCTTGCAATTTGGTCACTAACCCGGTGTTTGAGATGTTACAAACATCATATTCAAAAGAAAGTTTGGACTGTTATTGCACCTTTTTCTTTTTATTTTACTTTATGTTTGAGTTTTTTGGGTGGAAATAATCCCTAAAATTCTATCTTTGATTGGTTACATTATTAAGGTTGTATCTTCTTTTGTTTCAATAAAGTTCAGTATTGTTTCAAGTTTAAAAAAAGTATATAATTTTTTAAGTACCTAAAGTATTTTTTAGTCAAAATAAGTATCTAAAGTTACTTTTTTAAGCATGAACCAAGTGGCTTCTGTGATAAAAGAATTGTTGCTCTTCCTTAAAGACCCAGGTTCAAGCACCGAAAATGTTAGGAGCATGAGCGTTCAATATGAAGAGATTGAGAGTTATCTTTTTAATCAAACTAGGTACCTAAAATATTTTTTGATCAAAATAAATATATAAAGTATTATATTTTTTCTTCCAAGTACCTAGAGTATCCTTTAAATAATGTCATGTGTCAATTTTTTAAAACTTAATAAAAATACGTTAAATACTTATTTTGACAAAAAAAACTTTATGTATTAACTCAGACTAAAAAAATTATTTCAGTATCTAGATGAACAAAATATATACTTCAGTATTTATTTGTTATATAAGTCAATATACTTTATAGTGAGGAGAAAAATGAATATTTTTAAAACCATTGAGGAAGTGTATTTTACACCAAATCTCGGGGATAAGTGTCTTTTACCCTTAAATTTTAATAAAAATATTAAATTTACTAAATATTTAATGAAAATAACATATCTTTATAAAAATAAATAAAAATGATATAAACAGGCTATAACAAATGAAGGGGCCATAAGAGTAATTCTACCATTAACCAATGGGTCGAAAACCTTGCTTGTCCTCTTGCATTTACCCCTGCCAGTAAACAGAAATTTTAAAGAACTGACCCCACAAGCGCTACACTAAATCTAAAGATTCTACCAGCTCATTGCCTTCTAAGATCCAACGGGAGCAACGCCTTTGCCTTTAGCTGCAGCACTTGCAGCTACGGCGGCAGCAGCGGCTGTAGATGCAGCCGGACTTGGACTTGGAGGTGCTGGGTCGGACTGAGGTCCAATTTGTGCCTCAATCGTATGTTGACCGTTTTCTTCTTGTTGCTGCTGAGACTGGATCTGGGCCAGCATGGCTTTAATTTGATTTCCTGTGAGTGTCTCGTGCTCGAGCAATGCATTCGCAAGTGCACAGTGTTCTTTCCAGTGGTTGGTGAGAATGGTTTTCGCGTTGTTGTAAGCCCTCTCCAGTAAATCCTTCACTTCTTTCTCGATGAGAAGTCTAGTCTCGGTGCTCATGCTCTTACCATTGTCGTCATACAAATGAGTAACAAGCCCCACTTCTTTACTCATGCCATACTTTGTAACCATAGTTCTAGCTAGAGAAGTGGCATTCTCAAGATCAGACTCTGCACCAGAAGTAACTTCATTTTCCCCGAAGATAAGCTCTTCTGCAACCCGTCCCCCCATAGCAACATCCAGCCTTGCTAGCATCTGCTTTCGGGAGAAGCTTGTTTGATCCTTGTCAGGCAACTGGGACACCATGCCAAGAGCCATTCCTCGGGGTACTATTGTTGCTTTGTGAACAGGAAGTGCCCCATCCGTATAAATGGCAACAAGGGCATGGCCAGCTTCATGGAAAGCTGTATTTTTTCGTGACTCCTCGGAAATGACGGCTGACTTGCGTTCACTTCCCAATATGATCCTGTCCTTTGCATACTCCAGATCAGCCATTGTAACCGCCTTAGCACCATCCATTGCAGCCTTAACAGCAGCAACATTGACCAGATTAGCTAGATCGGCTCCAGAGAATCCAGGAGTACCTCTAGCAATGATCGTTAAATCAACATCCTCGGCCTTCAAGACCTGTAATGAACAAGAATGAACGGTCAAACTCAAACATCCTCCAATAATGCGACAAGTCTATGAGTACTATCACAAATCTAATGTGGAAAATCAAACAGAATATTGATCCAATTGAAGGAACATGTAAAAACGCAAAGAGATTTCATGAAACATCAAGATAAACTTTATGAAACATGCTCCAATGGGACCTGCCAATCACAGTCTACGAGTACTATCACAAATCTAATGAGTCGGGTACTGAAAGCTGTCAACTTAAGCTCAAACTCCTAGAACACATGAACTTCTCACATTCAACACAATACCTTTGACATGTGGGATTCCACAATCTGCCTTCGCCCTTCAACATCTGGATAAGGAACAACAATGCGACGGTCAAATCGTCCAGGTCTCACCAGTGCCTTATCCAATGATTGTGGAAAATTAGTTGCTGCAATTACAATAACTCCTTCATTCTGTTTAAACCCATCCAATTCAACGAGCAACTGGTTCAATGTCATCCTCATATATTGCTGGTCCTTTGGATTACGGCTTCCACCTATGGCATCTATCTCATCAATAAATATAATACATGGTGACCGCTTCTTTGCAGCAGCAAAAAGATCTCTTACTCTTCGAGCTCCAACGCCGACAAACATCTCTTCAAACTCACTGCCACTGCAGGAGAAGAATGGTACCCCAGCCTCCCCAGCAATAGCTCTTGCTAACATAGTTTTCCCAGTGCCGGGCGGACCAACAAGCAAAACACCCTTTGGAAGCTTGCCACCAAGACGAGTGAAACGCTGCAAGAAGGGTAATCCCATTTAGAGAGAGAGAAAGAGAGATAGGGAGACAAAGTTAGAAATTCAAAAGAGCATTTACTTTAGGATCCCGAAGGTAGTGGACAATTTCTTCCAATTCTGCCTTTGCCTCATCAACGCCTTTGACATCATTAAATTTTGTGTTAGATTCCACAACTTGCACCTCATCATGTAGACCAAGTCCTAAAACAAGGATATAGTCAGTCAGAATTCAGAAAATGCCTGGGTAGAAACTTAAGAGAAAAACTTGCCACTTAAAGATTCTACCTTTACTGATCCCTCTGTCCTCAATAAGAGCACCAATACCAGAAATCAACAAGAAGCAAAGTGCAAGACTACGAAAAGTACGCCACAACTGATCTTTAAAGCTCCCTGATTCTGACGAGACCATGTGGATAGGAGCACTAGCAGTTCCTAGGAGACCCTTGTTTGTAGATTTTCCCACATTTCGCAAAGCTGAAAGTCCACCTTTAGTCTCTTCCTCTCTCGCTGAATTAGATATACCTGTAGTTTAGCACAATCTCTTAGTATGCAAACTTTCAGAAAGGCAAAGAGTGGAAATGGTTCAGAGAGAAATGGACCAATAATAGTTTAACAGATATTTTCTAAGCCCGAATTCAAAGATTTCTACAGCAAAGTGAGAGGAAAGAAAAGGGGCAAAGTTAAGATTTTTAAAGAGATTAAAGATGTACGATTGCAATACCACTCACCTTTTTGTATTGCCTTAAGCAACTCACTTTCATCAAGCCTGTCAACTTTGACTAATGCTTTAACATATTCGGAAAGTGCAGACCTGTTAGAATGTAATGATGGCTGACTTTCAAATAGCCTTATCACTGCTTCAGGATCATTTTTATGGTAAAGTTCTCGTAAGTGAGAAACTTCACTAGCTTCATATGCATCTCGGACCCTGCGAGCTAAACTGCCAACATAGCTTGACTTAAACGTCTGCTGGCCTTGGCCACTCAGAAGTCCATTACCTGCACTCCAACGATATTTCAGCTAAGGCAAAGTGGTTTTTAAGTTGAGAACATAGAAAGCTAACGATGAAAAGGAAAGCAAAGTATTTTGTTAATTTAAATAACCACAAAAATACCAGAAAGGTAAGTCCTACTAAACAAGCTTCCGAATTGTCCCAACTCTGATTGCTGCCTTGAAACCTGTTTTAAGATGAAGATGAAGATTAAGCTCACTTGTTTATCTAAAGAACAAACATTCAAATCTCTGTCTAACATGTAAATTAACCCTAGCTCTAGAAAACTCTCATTACGGGTTGCCAGTGGACTTGGGTGCTTGGTTTGGGTGGGAGCTGGAGGTTAAAGGCAAATTAGGAAATTCTCTGTTAGCTCCAATGGAGTTTTCATGCCAATGAAAATCCTGGTCCCTTAAACCTTAAGTTTTCATGGGAATGGAACTCCCAATCAGCATACGCAAATGAATATATTGTTAGGTCCAATGGAAACTAAAATATAATATTCCAAATTTCTATTCCAATACTATTTTAATCACCTACTGTACTAATACCTAGCTCGGAATGAAATGATTAATGCAACAACTTTAAGATATACAAGATTAGGGTTTCCATGATCCCCGAATTTCAGAACTTCATATCATAAAAAAATCCTAGAAAGAAAGGGGAAAACTCTTAAAAGAAAAGAGGGCAAGAAACCTGAGTGATCAACCGTCTCCAAGCCATCGCTTTTTACAAAGGCCAAAGCAGTTCGGATCTTTATATCGCTGATGGACGCGTTTGGTTAGCAAGAAAATTAAGGGAAATGGGGGGAAATTCTGAGGAAAATATAGAATTTGGTAAGCTGTGGTAACAGTAACGGAAGATCTGCAACCCGAAATGATATTTTTGCCCTTCCAATTTTGTTTTCTCCCTTCTTTGACCCATTGAGCACTTGTTTCGGGTAAACTACATAGGTTGTCACTTTTGTTTCTGATCTATTTTATTTTAGTCACAAATTTTGAAAAAGTTACGTTCTAATGACTTTTATTTTCGTTCATGTAGCACATTAATAAAAAAAATATTAGTAGCTATTAATTCCACATGATCAAACATTAGGGATCATATAAACTAAGTTTGTTTTTGAGTTTCGGGTTTTGAGTTTAGTATTTATTTAACGGGACTCGTCGTCGTCGTCGTCATCTATATTGGATTGTTAGGAATGTATTTACTTAGTAATTGGGTTTGTAATCCCATTGTCCTTAGCCTTTTATTTTCTGACAGTTAAGATTGGACTGGGTCAAATTCGAGTTTAAGGTAAAAAATAAGAATAATTATGTGATTGATCTTTATATACTTAAGTATAATTATTATAATACCACTCTTTAAATTACTTTTCAATTAAGTCTCTATTTCACCTAATAAAAATGAAAATTATATATATGTGTATGTGTGTCTGGTTGAGTAGTGTCGAGATTTTATTTCAAAAATTAAATTAAATTTCAGGTTGAGTAAAACTTTTTTAATATCAATTCAAGTAGACTCATAAGTTAAAAAAATGCTATATTTAAATCGAATTTGAATGGACCAAAAATCTACAACTTGACAATAATAATCGCTAATTATCGTCTCGAAAATCCTTACAAACCAAACTTAAGAATCACATTTTAATATATATAAATGGTCTTCGATTATAGGGTACTGTTTTATTAATCCATCGACTATTAAAAGTTATAAATGATCCTCTGACTACAGAATGTTACTTTTTTAAGTCCTTCGACTATTAAAGTTACAAAATGGTCACCTGACTATTCATTATGTTCCAAACTCATCATTTTCCGTTAAAAAATTGACGGTTGTTTAAGCTTGATGTTAACATAACGAATAGGATATGATGGTCATTTGAGATTTTGGGATCAAATTTTATCATATTACAATCAACATAATGTTCAACTCATAATACCATCAAATTTTTTAACGAAAAAGGACAAGTTTGGAACATAATGAATAATCGAGGGACGCAACAAAGCAACACTCTATAGTTAGAGGACCATTTTGTAACTTTTAATAGTCAAGGGACTGAATAAAGTAATATCCTATAGTCGAGGATCATTTAGTGTACTTTGCCCTGTATATCATTAGTTCGATAATAATTTTTTGGTAAACTATATATTTAGCACCTAAACTATTAGTTTTGGTCCGTTTTGATACCTAAGCTTTCAATTTTTTCAAAATCATACCTAAAATTTAGTTTTTATTTCATTTTAGTACCCGTTGTTAAAAGTTTTAGTTTTATTTTAGTACCCGCCGTTAAAAGCTGAACACGTTTAGTACTTAAACTATCAGTTTTGGTCCGTTTTAATATCTAAACTTTTAATTTTTTTTCTAAACTTAACGTTAAATTTTAAACGGGGTACTAAAATAAAACAAAAACCAAGCTTTTAACAACGGGATACTAAAATGAAGCAAAAACTAAACTTTAGGTATGATTTTTAAAAAATTAAAAGTTTAGGTACTAAAGCGGATAAAACTAATAGGTTAATACTAAACGCGTATTTACCCTAATTTTTTTCTTGAATAGAACACATTCTAATAGAATAATACTTTCTCAGTTTATAAACATCTCAGAATTTGTTAATGGTGAACAAACTTTATTTGTGTTACTGTTTGTGAAAAACAATGAAATCCCAGACAATCAAGAAACAGTAAAAAATGGCAGAAATGTAATGCAATCCATGGAAGATCAACAAGAATCTGAAAGGATCAGTGAAGATCTTATAAACCCAGAATCTATTTTCCACCTAATGAATCATAACACCAAAAAGAAGAAGATGAAAGAAAAAGAACAAGTTAAATTCCCCAGAAGCATCACCAACAGCTGCCATGGACAACTCGTGTGTACTTATCTTTAAGCCACCTGAAGCTCCTCTTCAAGGACCCTTTGACCTTACCTTCAGCACCATACATCTTGTTGCTAGCAACGCTCTTCTTCCTCTTGAATTCAGGGTCACCAAAGCTCCATGACCTTGAAGAAGAAGATGAACCATAAATGGCTGTCTTCTTCCCTTTCTTGGACTTGAAGTCCATGTTGCTCTATTAATTGGAAGCTGAAGGCTTTTGTGGTGATTCATGGTAGGTATCCACCTGCATCATCCCAATGGATCTTGGTTGTTGAGGTTCCTTTTGATCTTGACATGCAATTGAAGCAAAAGCAATGGTGCTAATGATATACATATTCTCAGAGTAAATTACAAATTTCATCACCGAAATTTACTTTTTCTCCTATTTTGCCACTGAATTTTAAAAGTTTTCAATTTCTTTACTGAACTTAATACATTGAGTTTTTTTAGTCGTCTTTCCACTGGGGTTATGCTCCGTCAACTCGTCCGTTAAGTTTTTAACAGCGGGGTACTAAAATGAAATAAAAAACTAAACATTAAATATAATTTTGAAAAAACTAAAAGTTTAAGTACTAAAACAGATTAAAACTAATAGTTTAAATATTAAACGTGTAATTTACCCTATTTTTTTATTTTGCACTTTTCGATCAACTTTGGGATGACATGGAATGGATTCTAGATGGCATGTTTAGTGGGTGAATGGAATCATGTAGTCTACAAGCAAAAACTCCTAATCTCCTTGTCGATAAGAACCGAGTTGTAAAGGTTCTCATCATAAATCTAATGGCTGGCTAAAACTGGTCCTTATTTTTAAGCTACTTTACTGATTGCTTAACTTTCTCCATTCAGGTATGTGATTTCGGGTTGTCACGCATGAAGCATCACACATTCCTCTCTTCAAAGTCTACTGCTGGAACGGTAGTATTACGAAATGCTGGAGGTCATTTCATAATTCGGAGGTCTTCTACGGAAGCTTCTCTCAATCTGGTGTTGGACAGCCTACTATCTTATCTCTCCCTTATCCCATTACATATGGGAACAAGGGACAGCCATTTTCCAATTTATCCAAATATATCATCTTTTTATGAAGTATGTCTTCTCTTGGACTGCAGCCTGAATGGATGGCCCCGGAAGTTCTAAGGAACGAACCAGCCAATGAGAAGTAAGCGACTTTTGACCGGCACATGCGTGTTTCACTGACACTTCTATCCCGTTTCTCATACAAATAGACTGGCTTGGTTTCAGATGTGATGTGTACAGTTTTGGCGTGATATTATGGGATCTGGTCACTCTGCGTGTTCCTTGGAGCTGTTGGATTCCAGAATAGATGTCTCGAAATTCCCGAAGATCTTGATCCGATTGTTGCACAGATAATACGTGAATGTTGGCAAACATGAGTTCTCATCCATGTCTGGAGAATGATCATATAAAATGCACTAAATCTCATCTGAATGTTTAATCGGTCTCTAGTTTCTCGGGCACTCACACAACTTCCGAAACAAACCCTAGTTATTTTACCCATGCATTAAATAGAAGGATTTTTGCTCATAATCAAGTCAAAAATCATTAGAATGATCCTTTTCATGGTAGTCATGCTCGTGACTCAGTGCAAGTATCCGAGTATATCATATAGGTAATAGTCTGCAATATTGATTGTTGTGGAACTCACGTTAATATAACTTGTGTTATCATCTCTGCAGGGAGCCACATCTCCGACCATCATTTGCACAGCTAGTGTCCCGACTACGACGTCTTCAACAGCTGTATATCCACAGGCCAAACTCGGAAAATCAAATTACAGGTTGATTTTTTTTATGTAATAAGAACTGTATTAGCTGTTTCCTGGCTTGAAGAAGAACCAGGCAGGCAAAAAGGTTTACTTCTAAATGTGAAAAGAAAGTTCAAAAAAGAGGGGGGATGGGTAAAGTTCCGGCTCATTCGAAACGGGGGATCGGCACTTCCCGTCCCGAACGAGAGTGGATCGATTCCTCTGATAAGCGATCGGCTGCATAATTGCAGTGGAGGATACCACTTGAAAACCGTGTTTAGCATTATGAGTAGGTTCAGCATTTGTCAACTGTAAGAATGTTGCAAAAATAAGAACTAAACCCCAGTTTTGTTCATTGTATACGTTATTAGTCATCTTTAAGTGATATCAAAATAAGAACCTAATGAACAATCCCAACAATAGAGGAATACCTATTCACTCCTATATAATTTGGATTCAAACAATGATTATTTAATGGGTAAACTACTTATTTAGTACATAAATTATCAGTTTTGGTCAGTTTCAATACCTAAACTTTAAAAAAAATCAAAATCGTATCTAATGTTTAGTTTTCATTTCATTTTAGTACCAGTCGTTAAAAATTTTGACGTGTTTCGTAGCTAAACTATCAGTTTTGGTCTGTTTTAGTACGTAAACTTTCAATATTTTCAAAATTTAACATTAAATTCTGAACGGGGTACTAAAATGAAATAAAGATTAAAGTTTTTAACGGTGAGATACTAAAATGAAATGAAAACTAAACGTTAGGTATGGTTTTGAAAAAATTGATAGTTTAGGTACTAAACATATCATTTACCCTAATATTTTATATTAAAAATGATAACATTGAATTTTTATATAAATATATTTGTGAGTAGCTGTCTTTTGAACTAAATAACTTTAGGGTAAGCTACATAAATGGTCACCAAACTTTTAAGGCATTGTATTTTGGTTACCTAACTTTTAAAACTTACAATATAGTCATCAAACTTTTAGTTCATTTTCAATAAAGTCCTTGACGTTACCTCCCATTAGTTTTATGGCATGTTACTGTTCTTTTTCAGCTTAATCAAATAATTCTCTTAACCCATTTCAGCTTAATAAGAAAAAATTCTCACCTAAAGTTGACTAAGAACCCTAAAAATAAAATTCCCCTTTCTCTTATTCTCTTTGTTTGATCAACTATCGAAGCTAGATTAAGTCAAAATTCATTGGATGATTGTAGTATTAATCATTTCTTTATTTTGGTGCGAGGAACTTATCATGAATCCTGATTTCTGCAGCTTCCTTTATTATTGTTGGGTTGGCTGTCGGGCTTGCTTCTATTGTTCCTGGAGTTGGTCAAGGCACTGTTGCCGACCAAGCTGTAGAAGGTATCACAAGTTATGTTCTCGAGACCCAACAAAGATTAGAGAAAACATAGCAAGTAAAAAGGTTTGTACCTTGAAGGCTTGAAGCAAAGCCAAGATTAGTTGGGTTATACAGCTACTTTGCCTTGGGTAGGAACTTGAAAACCTAAAAATTGAAATGATATAGCCATCGTTAAAATAAGTGTAACTACACGACATCGTTTGGGAATGTTTTTTTTTAGTAACCTGAAAAATAACAATAACTGTCACGTCGGATAAAACTAACGGGAGGTAACGTCAAAAACCTTGCTGAAAACTAAGGGGCTGTTTGTTTGGCTCTGAATGGAATCATTCAACGCTGAATGTTGAACCGTTCAGCATTCAGCGCGTTTGTTTCTCACCTCTGAATGATTCAATGCTGATTGATTCAGCAAAACAGTGTTGAATGATTCAGCACAAAAGTACATTCTGAATAATTCAGAGCAATTATCAAACAGCATGTTACATTCAGAGTTAATTCATACAGAGCCTCTGAATCATTCAACATTTGAATCATTCTGAAGTAAACAAACAACCCCTAACTAAAAGTTCAATGAATTGCAATTTTTAAAAGTTGGGTGACCAAAATGCAAGCGTCCTAAAAGTTCGATGACTATTTATGTAGTTTATCCGTAACTTTAAATTCGAGTACTTTATATATATATAGATGTATGTGCATGAACTTGAAAATAAATAATAATGCATGATACACTGAAAAAGTTAGAAGCCATCGGCAAGTGTTAATTGTTAGGTTAGGTTACATGTATTTGTCTCTTACACTGAAAGTTAGCAGCGTTTTTCTAGGGTAAACTACACATTTAATACCTCAACTATCATTTTTGTTCCATTTTGATAACTATTCTTTTAAAATCATACATATTGTTCCAGTTTTGATCCGTTTTAGTACTTAAACTTTCATTTTTTTCAAAACCATGCCTAACATTTCTTTTTGTCATTTTAGTACACTGTTAAAACGCGTACTAAAATGAAACAAAAACTAACATTAATTATTTAACAATAAGTGTCCAAAATGAAAGAAAAAATAAACATGAAGTATGATTTTGAAGAAAAAAAATTGGTGACCAAAACTAAACAAAAGTGTTAGTTAAGATACAAAATTGTATTTTACTCTATTTTCATTCAAAAGAGACAATAATATATATATATATATATCGTTGCATTCATCGAAAAATTATATATATATTTTCAACGTGTCATACAACATTTTCTATTAACAATAAATAATAATGAAAAAGTTTAATGACCACCGATATAATTTATCCTTTTTAAAATAATATCTTTGTTAAATTTTTAAATAAAATAAAGGATAAAATACACAAGATACATTAATTATAGGATTTTACTTTGTTAGGTCTTTCGATTATTCTTATTCTTATTATTCGTATTCTTATTATTTTTATTAATAGTATTTGTATACTCTTAACTATTTAGCATTGAACGCTCAATCATCTTGTTGCAGTCGCTGGTGCTCGAACCCGTGAGCTCTAAGAATAACAACGATTCCTTTAACCACTGAGGTAAGTTGGTTCGTGCACCAGGAATGCCAGGGGTGTGAGTGATCAATGTCAAATGATTAAGAGTTATCTTTGAACAAATGTTGCTTATTCCCTTTATTACCAACAGTAGCTCTTGATTATTACAAGATATAAAATGGTCTCCCAACTACATGATGTTGCTTTGTTGAGCCCTCCGACTATTAAAAATTACAAAATGATCATTCGACTATTCATATGTTTCAAACTTGTCTTTTTCCATTAAAAATTGACAACAATATGAGTTTGACATTAACCTACTTATTGAGATATGATAAAATCATATTTTAATGATGTTTATTGCACCATTGTTGCTTTCAAATACTGACTCTATTGATATAATGTAAACAATGACTCGATCCATAAAATATAACTCAAACATTTATAGGATCAGATTTTTATCATATCTCGGTAAAAATGTTAATGTGCAGCTCAAATGGTCATCAATTTTTTAATATAAAAGGAAGAATTTGGAACATATGAATAGTTATGTAACTATTTTATAACTTTTAACAATTGGGGAATTCAACAAAATAATATCTTATAGTTAGGACACCATTTTATAACTTCCGTGGGGACTCAATAAAATAACACCGTATTTCAATCGTATTTGTCGATAGGATATCCGGATCCAAACGGGTGCATACAGTTGAATGGTGCAAATATGAGCCTGGATTATCCCTATGGTTCCATGAAAACTGGTAACGAGCTATCTCTAAGCCTTGCAACACCGCTTCCTGACCGGTCCTCCGAAATAAACTGTTGTTTGAATACAACAAGGTTAGGCTCGGAACAAACTTCTTGCAATGCTAAGGAGCTTTCTCTGAGCTTCGGTTCCGATGGGCCTCAGGTATCGGTCGAGATATCATCACGCAGTTCAAGAGATACTAGTGCAAATTGCAAGTTATTCTCTTGATAATCTAGAGCAGATGAGTGTAGGAGCCAGAGCAACAACGGCGACGGCGGTGATGGATTCGAATGATTTCCCTGATGTCGATGATTATTCCGAGGTTTAGTTAGAGGCGGTTGAGGCAAAAGAATCCCTACTGCTGACTTTGCTCCAAGTGGTATGTTGATCTTAATTTAGCTGGTAGAATAATGAATTACTCCTCAGTTTTGGTCTGCATCAATTGCTACTTTGGAACATGAACTGCATAATTTTCTTCGTTATCGAATACGTAAGATAAACGATTCGTGTCTCGACAGATACAGTCAATGCTTGGATGAAATCCATATGGTTATATCTGCATTCCATGCCGCGACCGAGTTGGATCCTCGAGTGCACGCTAGTTTCGCTCTACATACAATCTCTTTCCTATACAAGAACCTTAGATAGAGGATCAGCAACCAAATCCTAGCCATGGGAGCGAATTTGACACGAGAAGCAGGGAGAAATCTTTTCAGAATTCATTCATCCGGGAGCAATGGGGACTTAAGCAGCAAAAGAAGGATCAAATATGGATACCACAGAGGGGATTACCGGAGAGGTCCGTCTCGGTTTTACGTGCATGGATGTTTCAGAACTTTCTTCACCCGTAAGCATTCTTACCGGTGAGTTGCTTGTAGCACACGGTTCTGCATATTTTGACATATATCAAACATTTGCTTGCAATAAAAAGCGGCTTAACAGGGAGCCAGGTAGTTGGAGCATTTAGATTTCTGTTTTAGTCTATTACATTATACGACTAGATTGTTTTCATCGTATACATTCGGATCGATGGATGATCAGGTCTCTAGTTGGTTCATAAACGCTCGTGTCCGTCTGTGGAAGCCGACGATAGAGGAAATGTACTCGGAGATGAACTGGAGAAAAGCGCGACAAAACCAGGAAGGAACCAACATCAACCATCAAAGATTCGATACCAATTAAAAGCACAAGAAAGCAAGTATAGATCGAGTCGATGGATTCTGGATTTGAGCAGCTTTTCGGTACGAAAGAAACACATCCACCTAAGGTTACAAATGTACATGATGCTCCATTATAGTTGGGACCTTTTAGCTTTAAGGGTATGCTTCTAATTCAAAGAGGGAACCCTTTTGTTGAAAATATTATGAAATTCATAGTAATCTTGGAATGAATTGGTATGTTGAATACCTTTAAGGCCCTGTGATGGGTAAATGGTACACTTTTGTTTGTTTGCATGTACGTATGGGAGATTCAGGCAAATTTGGCAACAGGTCAGGCGGATAAAGAAATTGGTCCATTAATTCATCTCTAAAATTAATTTAATTATAATGTACGGAAAATTCGTCACACTCACATAATAAATTTATTTAAATTAAAACTCGTCACGTCGATATAATAAATTATAATAAAATATAATTTTATAATTTGATGGGATTCAAATCATTTTTCCTGGAAAGTTTGGTGGTAAAGACAAAGATGACTATTTTAGTGACACTGTGGCAGCAACCGGTCCAAGGGATTTTCTTTGTTTTTCTTATCATTTCCCGGGAAAGTGACATGAACCCATTTTCAAAGGCTGACTCCATAGCCAGATGATCAGCAGTGCACCACCCTGATTAGCCTCCTGGATCCCACCATGTTTGGTTGAAAACAGGTAGTGTGTGTGTGGTTCATTGAATGATTGAGATCATCCGTCATTCAATAAACGGGTGAATAAAATTTTTATATCTATTTAATAAATATAAATATATTCAGTTTAGGAATGGTAATGGGCCGGGTTCGGGTCGAGTATTGGTCCTCCGTTTTCGTTCCCGTTTAAAAAATACATATCCGTCCCCGCTTAAAAAACCGTAGGGATTTAAATGGGGATCTCCATCGGATAATCGGGGAAAACGGGTATCCCCGTTTAGCATAAACGGATATCGGGTCAAGTATCGGGCCGGTATATATATATATATATTTAAATTAAATATATAAATATTATATATATATATATTAAATTAAATTAAATTTATTAATATTATATATATATATATATAATAATAATTATTTTTAATATTTATCGGGCCGGATAATCGGATAATCGGGGTGGGGATTACCAAACCCATCCCCATTTATCATCCCCGAACCCATCCCGTTTAATTCGATTTTCGATTTTTCTTATCGGGTTCTGGTTTTTTTATCATCCCTAATTCAGTTTATTTATGTTCATTAATAAATTTGTTTATAAATTTATTTATTAGATTTCTTTTTATATTGTAAATATTCATAAAGGTAAAAATTAAATTAAATACAGATAAAATTTGAAATTCAGATGGTAAAGGATAGAGAGTTTAGAGACTGATAGTATCATTTTACTATTTTTTATTGACTTATAAATAGAAAGATAAAAAGAGAATGTGCAACAAAATAAATATGTTCGTAAACTCTAAATGAAATAAATAAAAATAATTTAAAAAAATAAATAAATAAACATAATATAAATTTTTTAAAGGTTTAAAAATTACTTTTACCTTGTAGTAAACCTAATTTACTATTTTTAACCTTATAATATTTTCACATTATTTTAACTTTCAAAATTGTTCAATCACATCATTGTTTAAATTATTTACTATTATATAGGGATTTAAGATTTAAGGAATAAGGTTTAGGTTTTAGGTTTAAAGTATCATATGATACAATTCAAAACCTTGAGGATTAAATTGATACGTAAATACTATAAGAACGAAAATAAACATAAATATCTTCAAAAATAAATAAATAAACATAAATAAAAAAATAAATAAACATAAATATATTATTTTTCGTTCAAACTCGATTTATTTACACCCTCTTCGCAAAACAGAGACACCAGACAGAAAATGGAGGGCACATTGTTATTATCAGTAAAGATTGAGGGCTTCTCTGATAAATAATTATTCTCAGGAATTTTCAAAATGGTAACAAATAAAAGAATTGACAATATCTCCTTTTTCCGTCTGTACTTCGTCTCTATTTACACACATATATATGCATGTATTAGAAAACGTGATGTTGCAGTTTCCATGTCATCTTACCTCTCCAACTTACAAAGAAATCCGGGTTTTAATCGGTTTCAGCTTCAAGCCCATGCTTTCCGGCGAAAGGAGGTCCGGAGAGATGCAAGACGGACTCAAAGGACTTCTCGGGCTAATGCTTAGAGTCGGCCGGTATAAGCCGTATCCCATCAGAAAGTACTCGATCGGTATCAACATGGCATGGGGTTGCTCCTCTGTCACCATTGACCCGCATCCCTGAACCTGCACGTTCCACACCGTTTGAGATTGTTAGTTCATTGGAAAAAGTTGGATGTATGATGTTTGTAACATGTTAGGCGTTGGGACTGTTGGTTGCATACCTCCACTAGGGCAGTGTATCTTCTATCTAATTTCGATGTCATGTGAAGAGCCTCGGAATGGAACGGAGAGTTCTCACCGACAAATATTAGCGAACGACAATGGAGTTTCCTCAGTCCTTCACTAAGGTCGGGTCTCCTGAAAGACGGGGTAAATAAGACATCAATGCTGGATCAAAGCAATAACAGCATGCTCGTACGGAAAACCAACCGCGTGAGACGGGCTTACCCGTTCATTGCTTCAAGGAATCGGCAAACATTTGTACTCTGCCTTTCGTCAAGCAACTGCAGGGGTTGAAAAAAACTATGTGTCAGAAAATTGCGGTGAGACGGACCATCATATTTCGTATAGTCAACTGAATAGTAAATAAAAATCGAATACAAGGGTTCGAAGAACTAACTCTTCTGCATGCCTGAACTATATCGGATTCTGGTACCACAACGCTACCACGAACTTCCTGCAATTGTCATTCGCAACCTCATCACTCAACTAGTCCAGTTCTAGACACAAAATAAAAGTAAACTACACAAGTTTTTGAAGCAGAAAATACCTTACTGAAGTATCGCTTGAGCAATAACTCCTTCACCATGCCGCACATGCCGTAGAAATAAAGCAAATTCGACATCACCTGAAACAATACGAAAATCTATCTAAGCACGTAATTAATAAACCCCTACGCCCTAAGCAAAACTAAAATTGGTCTAGAACACGAACCTTATTCAACAACCATTCTGTCCATGAAGGCAGTCTGCAGAGCGGTGAAACGAGTATTAACCCAAGGACGCGTTGTCGGTATTTCATCTATTAAGGAAAAAAGAAAGCATAAATAATTCTTTTCAATTTCGAGAGAGAATGATATTTGTTTTGAAATGAAAAAAAAATAAGCATACTATGCCAAGACAGTTGAATTACCGCAAAGAGGGTAAGAATATATGCTCCAGCTGTAACTCCCATACACATTACGGCGCCAAGCCTGCGGTTAAAACATTGAAAAAAGAAGAGTTAAAAGATAAGGAACATCAACTTGCTTGCCTTCATCTTTCCAATATAGATTATTAGTGATGATAATATATTAAAGAAGACGACAGCTTAAGAAATTATGTAATGGTGGTAGGTGCCTTAATTTGCATCATTTTCGGACAACTACAGCACACCAATTACCAGCCATCATAATAGGGGTCATAAAATGCCTAGAGCATAAGAGATTATAGTAAAGTAAAGTTCTAATCGGCCGACATTTGGAAAGATAAAACAACGATGAAACTATATTTTACCCGAAAAAGTTGAGAACCTCAAGAATCTGATCTGCCAAGTCATCAGCGGAAGGAATAAAGTCATCGGAACTGATCGGAGCAGCTCCCAACTGCAATATTTCTTGAAGGAAGTTCCGATAAGAAAGATGTGAATTATAGGACTCGACCGAAAAAGGAAGATTAAAACAGCTAATTAAAACATCCATATAACTGACCTCATGCCCGGGAGGACTTATATGGTATATGCAAAAGTTGTGCAGGAGTAAGGAACTAGCTTCTGGGCAAAAGAACAAGCCTTGGAAACAGGAGATATCTGCAGAATGACACATAATTAAAAAAAAAATGGGATATGAATCCTATCATCGTATGAAACGATCTGGTCAGTACACAAATGTAACAAATAAGGTCATGAATTTCCAACATATTTTGGATAAAAGCATTACCGTCTCGAAATCCTGTGCACTATGATGAAAACACAAATGAAGGTCTCAAATGTAAAGCAATATCTATGTTTAAGGAGAAAATTCACCATGCAAAGATAAAAGCCAAATTGCTAACAAAAACCAATATCCATTTTCGTAGACTCCGAAGCAACTATTTTCTCACGAGGAAGGAAGCATAACGAAAATCGACGAAACAATAACGCTTTCTGAATTACTCACGATTCAGAGCTAAGTCCGGATAGGTAACAAGGGCCGGCTTATCTTGGTCTCCAAACACAACAACAGAAACCGTACCAAGGCGAGTTTTCACAAGGTACTCCTGCAGATTGATTTTAACAATGCATTGTTATTCATTTAACAAACCTTCACCGAAACAACCAAATGAATCGGAACCAAATTACCATCAAAACCGGAAAGAACGCCTCGATTTGAACAAATAACTAGAGCAGAAAATTACAACATATGATCTAGTATCATCAGGTAAGGAAAATCCAATTCACTTGAGCGTCATTTACTACAAAATTAGAGATGTTTCAAAAGCATATCCCGAGTTAAGTATATTCTAAATCTAACTAGATAAAGCTAGCATGTGCAGCAGAATTCCTTTAATCAGAATACAATTTTGATCATCTAAGCATGTTGTTCATCGCCCAAACTCAGGAGATTGCTAGTCAAGGTTTTACTCCTCTAGCACATGAAGCAAATAATTGAAAATAAAATAAAAATCCATTATAGTTTAAAAACATCATTGAATCTAATCTATCTGAGTACTTCCAAAACGAGGAAAAAAGAAGAATCAAATGCCACTAATCAAAGGATAGAAACTTAAAATATAAGCTATATAGCTTAAAATAGAGAATTAAGCAAGAAATGGAAGAATAATCCAGCTTAGACAGCTTAGCTAAAGAAAATATAGATAGCTGCTGCATTAAGCTTTGTTTCCATTACGTTTTCTCTTCGATTCCCGCATTTTCTCAGTAAACAAACAGGAAGGTGAAATATCAATGCAAATTACCTTGCCGCCTAGAGAGATCATTTCCATATCAATGGAAACCGAATCACTTGAATCTGCCATTTTCCCCCCCTCACTGCCAAAACGAAGACGCATTTTTAGGATTGGTTTCCATTCCTTATATACCAAATTTCCCTCCGTTTTCCCTCTTCAGATTAATATATTTTTAATCTTTATCTTCGAAAATACAAGTTTTAACTCGTGGTTAACTCTAACCGAGTCACCGACGCTCCGAGACTCAGAGTCAGAGGACAAACTCGTAACTCGCTAGGGTAACTCGTAACCCGGGTCTCGAGTCTATTTAACCCCAGTTTAGAGGCCGACAGTTCCTTGCATTTTACGATATTGACCTCATCACTTTTCCAATTTACTTGGTTACCATCTTAGCAGCATATTTTATTCTTGCTCAAATTCTTTTACTAGTTCCTGTACTATGTGAAACTGGTGGATTTAATCCCTATTCTCTAATTTGGTCCGTTTTAGTTCATCTACTTTTCAAATTTGAAAATTCAATTTTGACCTAAGCAGTGGCCTAATCTTTTCAATTTTGGTTCATTTTAGTATCTAAATTTTTAATCTTTTCAAAAGTTAACGTTAAATTTTGAACGAAGTACTAAAATGAAATAAAAACTAAAGTTTTTAAAATAGGAAACAAAAGTTAAACTTTAGGTATGATTTTTAAAAAAATTTAAAATTTTAAATACTAAAACGGACCAAAACTAATAGTTATTAATATTGTTGACCAAAGTGGAGCCCAGATCAACCACATCGGTAATTAGGGATGGAAAATGGGCAGGACGTGTGTGGATACCTCTTTTTCCATTCCCATACCCACCTAATATTTTTGTATCTACCACCTACCCACCACTCACGACGGGTAAAATTTTCAAATCCATACCTGCCCACGCGAATGCATTCTCAATCCATCCCTACACCCACTATCCAATTGAATACTCGCCACTCATCCCGTAGCCGTCTGTATTCATCCATACCAACTAATTGGAGATGAAAGAAACGACGATCTTCAATTCTAAAAATGTTTATACCTTAACATTTGTTTAAATTACAAGTCATGTCCAATAAAATCTTAAGATTTATATAATAATCTCTAAAATTATACCTAAACTTATAATGATATAAAATTTATATAGTGAGTAGTTAAATGAACGAGTGAATGTGGGGCGGATAACGTCTCTAGCCATCATCTACACACTACACACGGTAGGTATGACTTTTTATATCTATATTCGGTCACTACCCACTAAATTTATATCTATCATCACCTCAATTGGGGTATGTACGATACTAAATCTATGAAATTATACCCGTATATGGTATCAACAATCCATCGCATGCAAACAATGCGACATAGTTTTGTGCTCAAGTTGGTATATGTCATTACCACTCAACCAATGGCAGACAGTACCCCCACGACAAGTCCCTCTCCGTACCGCTTTCAATGTCGTTTTACTCAATTTCGGAAAACCTTTATTTTTACATCACATTATTATAAAAGAATAAAACTAAAAAATATGTTTAACAGAGGTAAGATTTTTAATATAAAATACTGTAAAAATAAAAACATGTATTAATAAAGTTTGTGACTTAATTTTTTTTAATTCAGCCCTAAAAGTTTATAATCTAACATATTTAGACAAAACGAATAATTAATATCAGAGTAATTGTAAGATAAAATTATATTTTTTGGTGAAATTTTGTTGTATATCCTTATAATTTCGACATTATAATGAATTTCTCTAATGTATCCTTGATTTTCTCCTTTTCACATTTTTTTAAAGAAATATTTACGTTCATGTTTATTTTACTCGTCGTTATCTTTTTATGACCGTAATAAAGTTGTATATATTCATATTTTTAACCATTACGACGAATGTGATATTTTATCAATTCGATTTGAAAGGTCAAATAAATATTAATTATGTATAAAATAATTATTTTTCTTCGTAATTTGTCATGTAAGATACAATATCACCATCATTCAAATTTGTCAAAGATTATATTTAAAAACAAATGTTTATTTTTAATATGATGAGTGGGTTGAGAATATTATCAACATGAATATGACCTTTTTATTTTTATTTTTTGGTTCTTTTTTCATTTCTAGATTTTGGTGCCTAATACCATATAATATATGGTTTTAGTCCCTACTATGAATCAATTCTCAAACCTTTAGAGGTCGACATTTTACCTCACAAAATACGAACGGTTTGATATCAATATTGTCGAAAATGTTGACCGGTGATGAGTGACAATTGATCGGCATAATCGGATGAATGAGGATGATCTTCTATAAGAGAAAAAAAAAAGGAAACAAGGAAAAAACAATCACATTATCGAATCATTAAATATGTAACGATTATGTGGGAAAAAATAGTGTAGAAAGTTTAATGATATTTTTAAAAAAAAGTTAACCAAATTAATACATATACTAAAATTTAGTGACTAATCGAACAACTTATTCTGATTTTTATTATATTTTATATTAATAGATTACAATAGGATATAGGGTAAAGTACATAAATGGTCTCCGACTATATGATATTCTTTTATTAAATCATTTGACTATTAAAATTTATTAAATTTAGTGACTATAGGATATAGGAGTATCGATACTGTGCATATTTCCAAAACATCAAACATGAATCAGTATCGATACCAAAGGGGAGAATCGATACTAAGGGATCAGTACTGATACTGAGGGTCCAATATCGGTACCAGCGTACATTTTGGGCAATAAATTGTAAGGGTATGTCTTGAGTCTATCTTAGAGGGCATGTATTACATGTGGACCTTGTACTTATTTGAGTCATAACTATATTTTGATTTTAAAATTATGGGTTATATTTGTACGTATTTGGGAGACTATCGTATTTTGTAAACTTTATTTCGATTTTTTTATGATATGATGGATGGTTTTTTATAACTATAGACTGTTTTGAAAATAAAATTTTGGGTTGATTATTTTGGTGGTTCCGTGTGGCATCATGATCCATGGATATTCAGGTCGGACTGAATTAGGGTGTTACAGATATTTTGTAAATCACCTTCAGTTGAATAACAAGTATATTTGGCGCTTGACGTATAGACAATTGCTTCCTTGTTGCCACCAATTTCTTACAACTAAACAACCATAAGTTTTTCATTCAAAACAAATTAAAAGCAAGTGTTTCTTGCAGAGTTAATCAATCCCCCCCCCCAAGAAAGTAGAGAGAGAAGCTGAATTTTCTTGGGAAAAAGAGAGAAATAATCCATGAAATTGCTAAGTTGTTTGAGGTGGGAACACTTCCTTATAAGCATAAACATGGTAATGATTTTTATTATATTTACAAGATTGTTGTATTATTGTTTATATCTATTTTCTATTTTGGATTGAAAAGTTTTGAATTTTACTATAAATATGTGTTTTTGATTTGCAAATGATTAGTTATAATTTTTAAGAAAAAGAAGAAAAAAAGAATCTGCCACGAAGAAGAAGAAATTGCAATAAGAGGAATAAAAGAAGTTGTCATGTCATAGAGTTAACGACAGTTAAGTGTCATATCAGTAAAAATTAATGGGAGGTAAAGACAGAGGCCTTATTGAAAACGAACTACAAGTTTGATGATTGTATTACAAGTTTCAAAAGTTGGGTGACCAAAATGCAAGTAACTTAAAAGTTCAGGGATTATTTATATACTTTATCCTTTGTTTAATTTACCCTGAAATATATATATATATATATATATATTAGAGAGATCCAAGAAAAAAAATATAAATGTGAACCAACAAGGTGAGTCGAAGTGAAGCAAAATTAATGCAAAAATTGATTGTAGTCAGCCGAGTACACGTGAGTCTACACTGTCCTAGAATCTATTACATGTACACCTACTACACGCACCCCAAATATGTCTTTTTGTACATTTCACGACCAAAGCCTTGCCCTTGTAACCATCACCACCGACACTGACACACGGTCCTGGTCCAACTGAGTCAACTCACAACACGAGATGAGCCGAGTTTTCAGATCTTCCATGTACACTTAATGATTAGTACGCATTAATAAATAATCATCTAATGAAAAATATATTTTGTTGGAAATTGTCATTCGAATTTTTTTATTCAGTTTGAAAAATTTTGAAGATATAATTTAGGATTTTGGGTGTCTGTATAATTATGCATATATACCTAAGGTTTTATAAGTTTTGATAAGCTCGCTTTATTAACTATTGTGATACGTTATTTTTTATATTTTCGGTTTCAAGTCTTCGTCTTGATTAATCTGAATTGACCCGCGTTGTACACTTGACTTTGGTGAATGTAGGGATGGGCATGAGTCGGGTTGGGTCGTATTTTTGGTCTACATGACCCAATCCGAGAACAATGACTCATCCACCTGAAATTCGATCCAAAATAATAAAAAATATTATTTGTATTCAATAAAAATAATGATTTAATTAATATATAGGGGTATTATTGTAATTATTCCTAACTATATAAGGTAAAATTATATTTTTCCTCGAGTCGGGTCAGGTATCTTTCACCCTAAACCTGAATCCGACCCGAACACTATCTTTAAAAAAATTCGACCCGACTCAAACCCCTTTTTTAAAAAAAAACCCCGACCCAATTGAGGTTGGGTCGAGCCGGAACACATCGTGTTCGAGTCCCATGCCCATCCCTAGGTGGATGAGTCTCCCATCAGGGATTTTCTGCCTACACAAAGGACTCAAACTTGAGACATTGCTTAAACGATATCAAGTTGTTTAGCACTTGAACCAACACCTGTTGGTTTGTTGTGCGTCTTTTATATTTTCTCGTATATTTTATCGTCGATATAGTAAATTTTTATTCTCTGTCTGTGTTTTTTTTTAAAGAGTTTTCTATTAAAATCGATATATTTTTTCTTCTTTTTTTCCTTCTTATTTCATGACTGATTATTTGTCATAACATGTTTTAATAATATTCAATATTAACATAAAAAATAAGAATTAGGTTTAGGATTAGGATTAATGTTGGAGGTTAATGTTCAAGGGTTGGAATTTAGGGTTAGGTTTGCATAAAATTTAGGGTTTTGAGTATTTGATTTTATTTATTTT